GGCGGGAACCCACGTCAACCCATTCCCATTCTCTCTCTCTCTCTCTCTCTCTCTCCGATTTGTCGCCGTCGCGCTCCATCTCCACCGTCTTCATCAGCGGCGAGCGGGGGCCCGCCACCGCCTACGATACCCGTCCGGCGGCTGAAACCCTCAACCCCAGCCGCAGCAGCAGCCGAGGAAATGACGGACGAGGATGTCTTCTAGGACGAACACCCAAGTCCTCGTCGGCTAGGAAAACATCGGTACGGACGCCCAAGATCCTTTGACCGGGTTCGAATGCAAGAATCGATCTTTTCTTTGACTAGTTTCGCAGTTCTTCGGCAGATCGATTATAGATTAGACGACGGGTTCAAGAACGCCTACTGGTAATTCCCAATTGGGGGATGCTATTTGCCTAGGTTTTCTTCACTAAGATGTGTTGTATACAAGGTCTGCCATAGATCTCAGTATTGCTGGCTAAATGTCTCTGTCGTGATCGCCCCCTTCTCTCAAGGGAGAAAGCTCAGAAGGTTATGGCGTTTCTCTCTTACCCAGCGACTACCTGTCTTGCGGCTGGAGCAATTGGCGGGACCCAGGCACGATGGCGGGAAGGCGAGATGACACAAAATCAATTAAAAATATTATTATTATTTTTATGACCTTTACATTATATATATATATATATATATATATATATATATATATATATTATATGGATGAGAGTGAGCGAATGTGAGTCAGATTCCCGCGAGCGATTTGGATTAGATGATGGCGGAGCGGCTCTCTTCTTCGGTGGCGTCGTCTTCCTGTTGCTGTCTCCTCCCTACCTCCAAGCGGGCGGCGATGCCGTCCTCCGCAACCCTTCCTCCGCTCCCCCACCGCTTCTCCTCGTCCTCCTCCCGCCCATCTCACCGCCTTGCTTCTTACTTGCTCACTTCTTCTTCATCTTCCCTCCGCCTTCTCCGGGTCCGCCCCTCTTCTCTTTCTTACTCTTTGATGACATCGGTGAAGAAGTAGGATCAATTAGTTGTTTGATTTGTGCTTTCTTGGTTGGAAAATCCCCAGAGGCCTGGGATCCACCCTCGCAGGACCATGTTGGTCTTGTGCGCGTCTTCGGATCCAGCGCAGCTGAGAAGCGCTAGGGAGGACATCAAAGAGCTTCTCAAGACCACCTTCTGCCATCCGATTCTGGTATTCAAATTTCGTTGTGTCATGCTTTGAAACAGTTGGTTGGTAATTAGTGATCTGAGGCGGTAATTGAGCTCTCTGATCCTGTTAGAGTGCTTTTAATAGTATACGAATGTATATCATTGATCAAATCTATATTGTATGGGTTGTGTTGTGATGTGGTCTTATATTTTTATACGAGGTAATAGTTTATGGGTGGAATCCATTTTTTTGCTATTTGTTAGCACCTTTCTTGGGAAATATGATAGAGTTTATGGTCCTACTGGTTTTATTAACCATACGCTAAACAAAATTTAGTGAAAAAAAATGGGTTTTTATTTTATACAAGGCTGAAGCAGAGAGAAGGAGCCACATCCGAATATGTTGTACTGCTTTGTAGTTCGCTAGTTGTGTTGGTAAATATAAATTGGAGACTCAGGCTAATTGGGTCCATGCAAAAAAGGTTTAAGGAACGTCAAAAACCTTTGGCTTGACTTCAAATCTATATATCACTTTGTGGTTGATGAAGGTAGGAAGGATCCATGTAGCTGATCGAGAGTACCTGAGACTAGAGGCTTGGATTTTGTTGTCAAACATGTACTTTCTTTACTTATGTTGGTCAGAAATTATCCTTAGTAGTGGTCACTCACAAAGCCATTCTTGAACAGTTTACAAACGGTGCTTGTTTTCAGATAGATTGTTTATAATTATCTTTTTAAAAATTGATTGAAATAGTGATTGTTCAAGCTACAGTTCTATCTCATTGGACTGCACAAATTGTCTGTGTTAATGAAGACATGAAAAAAGTAAATCTTTTCATACTTTTTTTTTTGGCTCTGATCACTGCTGATTTCAGATATATTGCTTCTGTTATTTGAACTGATTATTTTTGATCAATCTCTTTTTAACTGATTCGTCTGATTGAGTATCTGTTTTCTATTGTATCTTATTCTTGTGTGATAAATTGTCCTATGGCTTCTATTTATTTTCACATTGCCATTGTTTCATCATGTTCCAAGCTTATCAATAGGGCCTATATATGATCGTTCTTTTTCTTTTGGATAAAGAATGTCTTTGCTCTTCTTATCTGAACATTGCACTCTTGCTTTGTGCTGATGCATATGCATCTTTTAGCAAGGTAGTGCTAGAATAGGCAAAAAAGTATACTAATTTGACATTATCTGGTTCCTACTTTAGCAAACATCATAACGATTCACACTTCAATTTTTCCTGGTTGATCTATTAGGTTATTTAAAATAAGGTATCATATGATGATGATATATGACCACACAGGTTCGCCTGGGATGGCATGATGCCGGTACATATGACAAGAATGTTGTGGAATGGCCAAAATGTGGGGGAGCTAATGGAAGCTTGCGTTTTGAAATAGAATTAAATCATGCAGCCAATGCCGGTAATGGTTTTCTTGCACAAATAATCTGAATTACTGTTGAAACTGAGGGGGACTGACTTGATACTGCAGGTCTTGTAAATGCTCTAAAGCTTATTCAGCCTATTAAGGATAAGTATTCGAGCGTTACATATGCAGATTTGTTCCAGTTAGCAAGTGCCACAGCTATTGAGGTCATTTTCCTGACCTAGTTGCTTCCAGTGCCACTGGGCTCCTATATAGCGGATGTTCATTTTTCTTTTACTTGTTACTGTAACACAGATCATATTAATCTGCTGTTGTTTTCTATCAGGAGGCTGGTGGTCCCCAAATTCCTATGAGGTATGGGAGGGTGGATGTTTCTGGGCCGGAACAGTGCCCTGATGAGGGGAGACTTCCTGGTGAGATAGCAATGCAAATCTTTCAATTCTTGGATTCTACTGTTTCTGTGGACATTGACTCATTTTCTGGACATTAGATTTTTATAAGTTCTGTTTCGCACAAATATTTTAACTTATTGATGTTTAATTCCTTATCCATGTATACTGAGAGTAAGATTCTTCCTTTTGTTTTTCTTGCTTATCGTAGGATGTTTGTATGCACATCATATTTTACTTCAATTTTCTAGAAAAATGATAATTTTATGCATTTTCCTTCTTTCACGATATTGGACCAACTGCATATATGCTATTCATCATTGGACTTGGACCAATATGCCTTCTCATTTGAGTTATTGATCACATTACTCAATGTCTAAAATTCTGATGAGTTTCCTTTTTCGAAGTGTTTGAATGAAATTATGCATACGACATTTTTCATTGTGATTTTTATAGTGAAAGCAACCTGATTCAGAAGTAATCAATTTTTCTATTTGAAAATTCTTGGATACTGAAAATGAAAATCATGTCTTAGGAAAATATAAATAAGAATTACTATGTAACTGTATAAAATTGCAATGAACATTTTGGCCATTCTTTTCTTCCCATTGAGTTATCTTAACCTACAATAAAGAGTTGAAAGTAACATATCATTAAATACCTATTAATTTAACCAGTGAAGTTTATGAATGTCTATCTTTGACTTCTACTAGTGCTCATAACAAGGGAAAATGCACAAGGAAAATCATAAAAGGGAAAAGATTCACAAGGAAACATGTGTCCTTTGTTTCTGACATATTTTATTGTTCCATATGATTATGATTTTGGTAAACTTGTTACCTTTGGTTTTGTGGATTTTGGATGAAGGAACAGTACCACCACACAGAGTTAATTTCAAGTTCTTATGTACAACACTCTTTGAGTTTATGACACAATATTTGGAAATTCACCCTTCCAAATTGTACCGATGATGTCATATAGTGTTGTTGACATACACTTTGTCCCTATCTTTATTGCAACAACTTGCAAATAACCTCACAACCCTAATGCGGTGCATCGCTATGGTAGGTTTGTGAGCTTATATCATCATCATAATTATTATAGAGCAGGGACTTGTCTATAAAGATTGTGACCATAACTTATGTGCCTAGTTTTGTTGAGGTATTTCTTTTCTTCCCAGTGTCTCCATTTTAGTTTCTTTGTTTCAGATGCTGGCCCATCTTCACCAGCTGATCATCTACGGGATGTTTTCTATAGAATGGGCCTTGATGACAAGGTTTAATCTTATACAAATGTTCCAACATATAGCTTAATATAACTTTCTTTTAAAAAAATTATTTTTTCTGGATGTAGGAGATTGTGGCATTATCTGGTGCACATACACTTGGACGGGCGAGACCAGAACGTAGTGGATGGGGAAAACCAGAAACTAGGTATACGGTATGTTGACCTCTTGTTTAGCTCATTTATATGTTTAGTAATAGATTTGCTAAACAGTGATGCTCTTTTCTTTCTAAGATGAGATCATGATAGAATATTCTCTAAAACAAGGATTAAAATTTCGTATTGTATCGGAGTTTCAAGCTTTGCTCAATACGGTACACCTAATTTAAGCATAAAATCCTCCGAAAATACCTGAAAAATAAAAAAAAAGGTAGGATAGAGTTTTTAAGTTAGAAATAAATATAGTAATAGTATAAGTTTAGCAAAATCAATGTAAATTAGGTAAGAATAGTATCACATATCTTTTTTGAGTTTTAAGGAGTAATCTTGTGCAAGGTTTGTATTTCGGTTCGTTACGGATTGTCCTTCTATAAATATTGAAATATCTATAGAAAAATCATTTGAATTGTTAGATTATTTTATTACAATATAAACTTTAAAATTTAAATAAATTAAATAATCACATATGTAGATATATCTGATTGTTGATTTTATCACCAAAACGAATGACGGACCTTCACGGGTGGTGGATCGGGGTCCTCGATCCTATGCATCTACATATCAATATGATATGTATGTTGAACCCAATCCTGAAATTGATCCCACGATATAGTGTATTGATACATCGTATGCCATTGGTGCATCACTGTGATGAATCACATTTGTCTGAGGTGGCTCTTAAGGCATGTATTGGTGAATATCAGAGCTTCTATTGATCTACTTTCGCTATAGAGCTTCTATTTTCGCTACTGTTGCTCGAAGGAAGTATGATCAACTATCACTGTACTACTGTTGGCTGCATGATTCTCCATAAGACGACGTCTGTGAATACGATGAGCTTTGTTTTGTGTCCATATCATATAAGCTCTGTCCCATCCACTCAAATTCATCCACTGCCTTCTCCTTCCTCTTCCGTGTATAAACTTGACCAGTACCTTATCGAGTTCTATGATCTGAATCTTGGGTGGCATGTGTAAAATATTGCTCATGATTAAAAAGTTATTCCTCTTAATCCTTCCAAATTAGCTTCGATTCAATTCATAAATCATTATTTTGTAGAGTTTAGGAGAGTGCAAATGTGAGAAAAAATGAGTTTGAGATAGTTGAAGAGAATGTGAGAGTGAAATGAAGTGCAATAGGGGGGAGGATGGGTTTAAAAACCCATGAGAAAGGGCTCCAATGGTCAATTTGATAATTGAAACATTGTTACAAGTCAGTAACAATCGAAATTTTGATTGTTACCATCCGATATAGCCCCATATCGTCTAATACAGGGTGATATCCAGCATTTCGCTCGGTAATGGGCAGTCTGCGTACTGGTCTGCTGGCGGACTGGTATGTGTTGCCCGTACCAGGCGGCATTATTCGAAATTAAAAAAGTAACCCCAAAACAATGTTTTTTGCTTAAGGCAATGATGGAGTGGTAATATTCCTTTTCGAGTTTTGTCCCCTTTGGTCATTTTCAAAATACATTAGTATAAATGTTCTTCTAAAGGCATAATTTAGAACTTCCATATCATTTAATTGTACAATAAATTTACCAAATGCTATTTGTTTGTGGATTTTGAAAAAACTTCATTGACTAAGGTCTATGTGGAGGTTAATTTCACAAATTGCAATTCTGGATAAAAAAGAATGATACGGAAAGCTTTATGAACTAGAAGAGCAGGCAACATATATTAAGTTATGCTCTCAGAAGTATCCTTTTGATCTTTCTGTTTTACCTTACCTAAGCTATAACTCAGCTACTAGTGGTTTCACTTGTTTATCATATAAAGAGATGATTAAATTATGAGGAATAGATCAAACCTTGTTCCTTTTCTAATGCTCGTTAATTAATCCATCATGTCTTTTTATATAAGTTGTTTTACATGTTTTATTTGATTTTCCGGCTTTTTGGAGTTGATTTCTTGTGACGTATACCATATTACTGGCAGAAATAATATCTTTTGTTGTTTGAAAAATTCCACAAAAAATGGATGCCAATGTCTTTGTTGGCATTGCACATTTTACAAATTAAATGTGATTACAGAGCTTTTAAAAATGTGAGCGTTCCAATGTGTTGGACTTTCTAAAAAGGACAAATATTTGGATGATTAAATGAAGAGTAATAAGTGACATGAATTTCTTGTGTTGATTAACTTGGATTGTTTTCAGTAATAAAGGAGCTTTTGGTCTGTTATAGTTTCTTGTCTCATTGTGTCGATTGCACATGTGTTAGCATCTTTGAGCATTAAGTTTTATGTTCCAAGCATGCTTCTTCATTTAGAGCATCACGAATATTCTCGTCACTTGCACAATTTTGGTCAGAACTAATTCCATTATATATTGCTTATCGTCTACCAAGTGATAGACTTGGTGCTTAGTTTGTGAAGTTAGGGAGTGGATTGTTGTAAGCTAATTGTGATTTGACCACATCCTTAATGTCACGTTGCTTGACAGAAAGATGGACCTGGTGCACCTGGTGGACAATCATGGACAGTACAATGGTTAAAGTTCGACAATAGTTATTTCAAAGTAAGGTTTTTCTTTCATGCCTCTCAGCAATACCAAAAGGCTCCTCAGCAAAGTGAATTTGGTTTGCTAACACTTTAGGATATCATGGAACGGAAAGATGAAGAGCTACTAGTTCTGCCCACAGATGCTGTTTTACTTGAAGATCCATCTTTTAAGGTAGACGTAGATACTCTTTTTTTACTGGGATGAATTCAGTTGTCATTCACATTTCCGAAGGTTACAACTTACTAATTTGCTATTGTATACACACAAGTGTAGATCTATGCCACAAAATACACAATGGACCAGGATGCATTTTTCAAAGATTACGCTGAGGCTCATGGTAAACTCAGCAACTTAGGTGCCAAATTTGATCCTCCGGAGGT